AAATTTAATGATCTATAAAACTGCATACCCAGCATTTTTCTAGAAACTCAAATTTTTTTTTCAAATTTTATTTTGTGAAATTTTTTTCGTTTTGGGGCACCCTATAATTGTTTTCAAGTCGTTTTTACTATGTAACATTTATTAACTGGTCTCTTGCAAATTTTATTAGCTTTCATTAAAAAATAATAATCAAATTGAATGAAAAATGAAGGCTCCAGTGCATTGTGAACACTAAATTCCAGTCTTGAGCCACTGTGCAATGCAACTATGAGCTCGAATATCTTCGTACGTCACTCAGTTTACCGAGTCTAGTCTGTCGCTTGCCGCAAGCGTGAGCGTCGTAGACGAGTGTCGTCTTAAGTGCTCTAAAGTTGTGGATTTCAGCGAGTTTGACCCGTTTTGTATAGCTTTCCCATCCACTTTGTCTTCAAATATTCAAAAGATATGTAAATATGAACAATATAGAAGATGTAGTACAAACACTTAAAAATCGTTTATTTACCCATTAATTGACTTGATGAGGGCAGACCGCTCAGTTCAGACGTAGAATTCCAATTGCTTTTGCACTGACTGGCTGTCGTCTGCAATGGGCAGTGGGCAGGGATGGCGAATGCAATTGCCAATGTCATTTTCGACTGCAGAGAGACAGACAGAGATGGCAACTTTGTACCAGGAAGTTTACGGAAATTCGTTAATCAATATTCTTGAACTCAAGGTCAAAGACATTCAAAACTTTGAATGGGAGCGGAAATTGTTGTGATTTACATACAAACATATTCTTACATACATACATATGTTTAAGAAGATAGTAAAATTTATTTAAGAAATTCACGTACAAAAAATATCCCGCGTTAAAGCTTTGTATAGATTTTGTATGGCCCGCAGAGAGTAAAGCCCTCTACAATTGTGTCTGATTTAGGGCAGCGACGACCAAAGGGAGCTTTTACTTTGTGCGTATCCATGAAAAATTCATACTAAGCTTATCTCGCAGGATGTATTTATTTAGATTGTTGCTGATTTAAACCAGCGGCGACTAGAAAGAACTATAAAAGCTTTTTAAAGCTTTCTCTAGATTTAATATGGGCGCATATAGAGTAAAAGAAGAAGAAACTTTTCATGGAAATTATCTACCTGTTGTAGTGGTCTAATCTTCAAAGCCTCGGGAACACACTTTATAAAAGGGTGCGCGTATATAAAATTTACAGAAAGCTTTAAAAAGCTTTTTCCGCGGTTCATATTTTGCTGCGACAGATTTAAATGATAAGGCTCTTCTGAATATAAAAAAATTATTAAGTTATATTTCGAGTTTAATATCGCCATATTTATTTTGGATATTTTCTCTATTTTTAAATTTAATAATCTACACATGTATATATTTGTCGATCATTTTCGAGCTGCGCTGTAATCGATATCGCCACCGCTATGGTTATCGATATCAATTTTACTCGTCGTCGTTGTTGTTTACCGATTTGTAAGAATACTTTTAAAAAATATAAATATTTATCGGAAATCTTATCCCTTCGATCGCTTCCTGAAGAATATATTTGAAAATCTTGTGTTAAAATGTTAGCGATCGGTTGAGCCGTTTTTAAGAAATCGTGCTTACCGACTTTGAAGACAACATTTTGAGAAAAACGCGTTAAAGTTTCCCAACTTTACTTTCCAATACTCCCAACCCGTCCCAACTAATATGCGTGTTTCTATATATATATTTGCAAATACTTACGTATGTATGTAGCGACATTTTTTTCAAAATTTTCTCTTTGACGGAGAAATGTTCCACAGCATCTAGATGCATTTTTACATCAAAAAAAATAAAAATAAAATTAAAAAATGTCGCTTACATCCGCTTAACTTTCTGTTAAATTATGCTGTAATTTTTAGGTCTTTCTTTATATTACACAAACAACGTCTCCCTTCCGTCTGCAGCCCCGTGAAATTTTTTCAACGTACCAGTTGTTCTTTCGAACTCGTTAAAATCCAAAAACTTCTTCGCTTGCGATGAGTTTAAGAAGCAAGAGATCCGAAGCAGAAGTTTTTTGTTGTCTACTAGTAAAAATCTCGGGATTTCATACTAAGTGATCACTAAGTATACGTATGTACATACAGACTTACAAAACTTCCGAAAATGTTAGAAATTTGATTCACCTCATTTCTAGTCACTTTTTTCGTAATTATTTTCAATTATCTTTGCACGCGATACTCGTTACAACATGAAATGAAAATTAGAAATACAACTAAACAACTAAAATACCATCAATCTTCATAGCCAAAGAGGAAGGAAATTTCCAGCAGCGTCACTACTAGCATAATTTTAGATAAACTCATTCGGCAGAATGCAGTGCAGCCGCGCCGTCATTGCTGCGAGCACACAAGCACTTGTTGCACACTACATGTTGCATGCAACGTACACGATGGCGACGGCCTAGGCTCTGCGCGCATGCGGCGGCTACACGCTTTCATCGCTGTTGTGCTTTATTATTATTAGTTTTTTTTTTTTTTTGTTTCAATCATTTTTTCCAATAAGTACTTTGGCATCATTTTATTTCCTCTTCTACTTTGATTGCATCGATATTGTTGTTGGAAATGTGTTGGCTTGTTTTTATTTTTATTGCTTTCTTGTGTGTTTTTACACACGCAACAGATGCTTTGATTTCGAAAACCATTTACGCTTTCGATCGATGAGTCTTTGAGGATGGTGACAAATGGGTCACACCGCTGTCTACTTGTCGACACTTAAAATGCTTTGTACAATAGAAAAAGTGTAAGTGCTTTTTTTTGTGGATGCATACAGCTTTTTCTTATTTCGACTACTGGAAAAAAAAACTACGCGCCATACTTCATTACTACCCTCTAGGAAAGTGCACTACTACGACAGTAAATAACTATACCTCGTTCTAGTTCATTAAACGAATAGTTCACACTCACAATTTCTAGTATAAATGTAGTTTGGAGTAAACTTTTCTGAAATAAAAGTTTTCTGTTCTGGTAATTATCAATGTATTAATCGATATCTTTCTCAGTGTCGGCGAATTATTTATAGATTTCGTTATTCATAAGAATACTTACGTACATTATAGTGGTTCAATTTTTATATGGGGGAAAAAAATGTTATCCTAGAAACCAAGGCGCCTCTTAGTTTTTCCTTTAGATATGTGTATTATCTATACCAACTTTCAATTTTCTACTGTAACCAATGCAGGGTGCTCAATGACCTTAAAATGCGTTACTGGATCCCTGTGAAACTTGCAAAAATATTGGTGATTTTTATAAAAAGCTACTGTTGCCATGACAACTGAAGCTTGTGATATTTTTTTAGATAATTTAAATTCGGAATGTTCTAAGGTTGCGTAACTATTATGCTTTTATACTCTTAGTCGAGTCATAAAGTTCGTTGAACCAAATACTTATGTTTAAGCGTCTTGAGGTTTTCCTGCAGGGCACAGTCACTTACCTTAGCGTATGTGTGTGTCTGTTTCTACGCAATTTGCTCTCACTTATAAATATTTTAGTATAATTTTCTGTTATTACCACATGTTTTGCTTGCCATTGTATTCTACAGTTGCCACAGTTACAGCTGTAGACGTCATTGAATCACGTCTGCTCACAAAGTTCAAGAGTTTATGTTATTGCGGTTTCTTAGCCGACAGTGGTGCAATACCGCCAAACCGGAGAATATCGAGGTTTTCTCAAAGTCGGTAGGGTTCCGAAGTTAAGTTTTCCTTTTCCACTATTCTTCAATTTTTATATATCGAAACATCCCTCCCCCCTCCCCATCCATCACAGTGCATTTCCTTGATCTTATACGCCCCTGATCGTTAAATTTTGGCGGCGGACAATGACATTGATGCCTTATGTTTCAAATTAAGTTCTTAATACTTTTCCCTGCAAAACCAACCACGACGTGTTTTATGGCATGGACAAAAGAGGTCAAACTGAATTTAGGCATACGGGTCGACGATACTACAATACCAACCGCGAATAACCAAAAACTGGTCGCGGTTAACTTTGACAGCTTGCTATTTTCCGTTATCGTAAGCGTCAGTAAAGTCCTTGCTAACAGCACTTGAGGCAAAGAGATGGTAAACTCGATGGTCCGCCGGTTATAAAATAATACTGCGTCTCTGTGATCACTGGCCACTTGTAGGTCGAAGTAAACGGAGTTGCAGACCCGTCGCACTGTATGCCTTCTTCTATGGCCTGAGCATCACTTACATAGCGAGGTGGAAATGCACTCACCTAAGCAGCATAACATCGTGCTGAGAAACAGTTCCTGTAGGGATGTTACCGCAGGGGCCACACCTGCAGGCACTTGCTCAAAGCCGCTGCTGTATCGCTCTTTAGAAACCATTTAATGAACCTCATGGGCCAGGTTCGGCCATACGCACGTTATCCACTGAGCATAACAGACTATATTCAAGCTTTAGAAGGCTATTATCGATAGTCAATTAACCGCTTCGTCAAATCTCGCGCCATGAATGACGTCATCGGAGACCAACACCTTTCGCCGACGAAGAGTTGGAACTGACTCTTACGACTCGCGCGTTTATTGTCACAGCTTGGTTCTGGATATTGTAGCTGGTTGAGCTGCTTCTTATCCAAAATCAACGCCGACATGCCCAATTTAACACCCCTTTCCCTATGGCTTATCCCGTCGGAGAAGCGCACATGCTGGGCTTATCGTTAAAAGATTTTGGCGACAACACTTGGTGGATTCACTGATCTAGGTAGAGCTTGGTAAGCTGCTCCAATGGCAACAAGTCTACGTTATTACTAATGACTTTCGCCATAGATTAGTCAAAAATGTATTGCTTACATACGTCTTTTAGGAAATATCTTTACATCCAACGCATCTTTCTCTCAGCTTTGACAGTGGTTGTGGGACATATGAACCAGAAGAACCTCTTGTTAGCACTATTTCTGTCTATACGTCTATTAGTTTCTAAATCAATTAACAAAATATTAATAGCTGTGATTTTTTTCTTTCGCCATCTTTGCAGAATCCCAATCTCCCCGCCAATGCCTCACCATTCCGCCGGGCTTGGGGTCAGTCGTCCTTTCGCACGCCACGCACCGATAAGCACGCCCATCACCAGCAGCAACAGCTGCAATTGCAACAACAATCCGGCCAGCATCAGCATCTCAGTCCATTAGTGCGTCGCGCCTCATCGATGACTGCCTCCGACAATGATGTCTACATCAAGTCCATGCATCACGGCGGCTACCATGATGAGCTCAAACAAGCGCGTAGTCAACATCAGTTGGCTACAGCAGCGGCCGCTTTGGTGGCTGCGAGAAATGCCGATTGTTCTGCGGAATCTATGGCAGCACCACAATTGGCGACGACAAACGCCACGTGTAGTAACAATAACAACAATGGAGACAGCAATGGCATTGGACAGCTGAAATTGTCACAGCTCAAGACCACACTTGCGCCTCCGCCCACAGATAATGGTGGCGTTGGCGGCGTGGCCGGCTGGGGTACAGCCTTTGAACGGTTGCTGGACGATCCCGCAGGCATGCACACTTTCGCCGAATTTCTGAAGAAGGAATTCTCTGCAGAGAATATCTACTTTTGGACCGCTTGTGAGCGCTTTCGTGCGCTGGAGAGCGGCGCTGAGCGAGCAACGCAAGCGCAGGCAATTTTCTCGAAACATCTGGCAAATGGCGCTTTGGAGCCAGTAAACGTCGATTCGCACGCGCGTAGTTTGACACAAGAGAAATTACAGAGCGCAGAACCGGATATTTTTGCGCCGGCACAGAAGCAAATTTTCAATTTAATGAAATTCGACAGCTATCAGCGTTTCATACGTTCCGACATGTATAAGAGTTGCCTAGAGGCGGAGGAGAAGCGCCAGCCATTGCCGTACAAGGCGGACGATTTAGATGAGTTGCTAAGAACGCCGGTGCATCAGCAGATAGTCGCTGCAATAGGCAGCGCTGCGTCGAAGGTTAGTAAGCAAACTTTAATTTCGCAAAACACTGGAGTTGTCAAGTGCCAATTTTTATTTTGATTATTATTATTTTTCCCCCAGCTGAAGAAGTCCGCCAGCAATGCAGAGGACCGCTGTCGCAAGAGTTTGTTGCCTTGGCATCGCAAAACGAGCAACAACAAAGCACCACGTGATGTTGCCGATGCAGGCGCTGAAGCGAAAAGCTCAATTAATAAGCATGCGCCACTTTCCAGTCACTCACTCAAATTGGCGCACACACAGAATTCACAAAGCGACATACATAGCTCACGTTCGTCGCTCTCCTCCTTCGATGGACTACCTGGCGCCTCTATACTGCCAGGCACGTGTCGCGTCATCTTGAGTGATGCCTCCACAACAATGGTGCAAATGCGCCCCAACGAAACCGTTGGTCAGCTGGTGGAACGTTTACTGGAGAAGCGTGGCCTTAGCTATCAATATTACGATGTAGTGGCCAAGGGTACTACCAAATCGATTGATTTGCAAACTTCATCACAGACACTCGTTGGCAAGGATGTGCTCATAGAGCAGCGTGTCGCTTTCAAGCTGGATTTGCCCGATCGCAAAGTGATCTCTGTGAAAAGCAAACCTAAGAAACAATTGCACGAAGTTGTGCGTCCCATTTTGCATAAATACAACTACGATTTCGAGGCGGTACAGGTCGTGTTGCGCGAAACGCAGGAGCCAGTCGACCTGTCGCTCACTGTGACTTACGCTGATGGGCAGCGGCTGCAGGCTGTATGGTTGAAGCCACCGCCATTATTGCTTAGCAGCGACTATCAAAATGGCAATGGATGCGCGGCCAAGGTAGCAAAGCCTTCGGCTTCGACAAAGAGCGTCTCCTTTCCCAGCAGCGTGAAGCAAGCGAATGGTGGCGGCAGTGTGCGCAATGCCACCAATGGTACTGGTATAGTTGTGAGTTCGCTTTCGTCACATCCAAATCAGAGCGCCTTGGATGAGCTGACCAACAAAGTGTTCACCGAGTTGATGCAGGTCAAAGTAGAAGCCGCGAGCGCAGAAAAGCAACCGCAATTGGTAGCAATCAACAGCAAAGCGAATGATCTCGCTTCGCTTAAGGTGAGTTTGCTAGAAAATGATCTTTATTTGCTATAAGAGAAAATTTGATTATAATATTGAACGCAGCGATAGTTTTATCGATAAATTTATCGATTACTATACCGATGTGCGCAGGTATCGGTCATGTTAGATATCGAAAATGTTGTCGAAAATCCGACGCTAACTATGCCGACATAACTACATCGATTTTATTCGATATCGATCATATTATCGATAAATATCTGTGTATGATGTGTGGATAACGAAAAATTTATCGATAATATCGTAGCATTAATACCGTAAATAACAGCTAATGTAGACATCTAGTTTCAAGTCAAGTCCTCATAGGTTTAATTTTTGTTTTTTTTCGTTTTTAAATTTAGTCCGATGACTGCGCCTCAGAAACTTCATCCATTTTTGAGCGCATACGTCGACGCGATGCCAATATTGCTGGCCTCAAGCTGAAGCTAAAAAAGCGATCCACAAGCAGTCAACATTCCGAGGAGACGAATCAAAGCAGTCATACAACAGTTAGCAATGGACAACTAGCTGCGCCTACAGTGTCCACTGCAGCGTTGGATATAAAGAAACCGATTATTGCAAAACTAAAAGCGGGGGTGAAACTGCAAATGCCCGAGCGGGTAGCCGAAAATCAAGGTAAGCATAACTAATAGTGGTTTACAGTTATGCCTGATGGCCTGGCTGCAGTGGGCTAGCACTTTTTCCCTAGCAGTTCGGGAATAATATTTTTTTTTTCATTTCCCCGTTTTCACAGATGAACTACTCGAAGGCTTAAAGCGTGCCCAGCTCGCACGGCTAGAAGATCAACGCGGCACGGAAATCAATTTTGAACTGCCCGACTTTTTAAAAAATAAAGAAAATCTCAACGCTTCGAAATTGCGTAAAGCGCGCGCTAATCTCAGTCCTATCAACAAGCCCTACACAGCTACTGCGGCCACTACTTCACCCATGCATGCCAGCTTCACCACTACCAGCGTCTCCACCGCCTCAGCAGGCACCGAGGAGCTACCCTCACCGCAGCTTGAACGTCCACAACCCGCGCCACGTCTTTCCATAACCAACAAGTTGAAAGGAAACACACCACTCGCGTCTGCTCTGAAGCCAGAGGAGGAGTCAGCAGCACCGACCACCACCAATTTACTTGAAGGACATCAATCGCAGCCAACCACACCGCAACCAAATACTTCGAGCTCATCGCTAGAAGCTGAGTATGCAGCGGTAGCGGGTAGTTGCAAGGGACCACCCCCCTTGCCGCCCAAACCCAAAGTGTTGCCCATCAAGCCATCGAATTGGGGTGCTGCTTCTGCTGCTGCTGCCAACCTGTCTGCCTCGTCCACGACAACATCGCCCACGACTCCCTCAAAGACATTGCCGTCGTTGTTGCCGGTGGCTGCACCTAAAAACTACACCACTGTCGGGTTGTCTAAGGGCATTACCACAATGGTGGAAGATGCTCCAAAGCTGCTGCATGTCGCCAACAAGCATTGCTTATCGAATGAGATTGTGCCGCGTAAAACGCATTTGAGTTTAGCAGCTGAGCAGCCGACATCAGCACGTTGTGCCTATCTCGAGGAGCCGAGTAGTAGTTTTGTTTGAATGGGGAGAGAGATATAAAGAGACATATATGTATGTATATAATAAGATAAGGGAGGGTGTGTAAGGGTTATAAGATGGCTTGCATTTTCCAATTCCATTCTCCTAATAGCCAAAATTATTATAATATTCAATATCCACGCCTAAGTGATAAACATTATATATGTATTTGCAAATCTTTGTACTATGTCCATAATGAACCCCTGCTATTTATTCGCATATTTCATTTTCAATTCATTGATATTACTAAGTTATCATTTTATCTATGTATTTGAATGTAAATATTTGTATGGCTTATATTCTATTTATAAATTTATGCATGCATAATAATACATAAACTTACACACATATGTGTGTACAAATTTTGGATGTCAGCGTAAAGAAATTTTTCAATAGCAGTTAATGTAATCATTTTAATCGACGAATGTTTCATATCTTAGGATTCAATTGTATTTCATGCAATGACAGTCATAAGCCTTAATTTTTATTACAATACTAAATATGTATTTGGGAAACATCGAAATTTTAGATAATAAAGTAATTTTATACATTAAATGCTAATTACATGTTTTGAGCTTTGATTGGCAAGGGTTTTTGAAAGTCAAATAATAAACAAAACTCTGTGGTAGTACATTCAATTATTCTATTAAGAATTCGTAATTGCTTGATTCGTTAAGCATGTCAGCATTTTCGCAGCGAGTCTTGATTGGAACTTAACCTCAAAAGAAACTTTAAAAAAATCAAAAAAAAAAAAAAAAATATCGCATCAAAAGGATTGAACCAGTTTTGGCAAGGGTAGTGTAAAATTCGAATAATTTCAGAAAAAATTTTAAATAATTGCCTGGAGAAAAAATTAGATCATATTCGGAGAACCTAAATTATTATTAAACAATTTATGGAATTTCTTGTGCTGTAATTCATTTTTGTTGATCAGCGACTCTTTACTAGATCAAAGTTACTGCTCATTTGCTGCGGAGAATACTTAATCAAGGCGTAGGTAGGTAGGTTGGTTACATTTATTCTATACGCATGCACAAACATATTTATATAAAAAATGTTTGTATGTTTATTTATTTTGATTCTTTTTTTCGGGCTCTGAAGCAAAGAGGAGGGACCCAGTGTGTTTAAATGGCAGGGAACTAAGCCCTCGTATAGCCAGGTTATTCCTCCAATATAATAATAGTTTTATTATTATTCATCAGATTATATTTGTTAAAATATAACTTTTTACAATTTTAGATAAAACTTATTTCTTTAAAATATTTCATTATTTATTTTCTTGGGACAGTTATTTTAAAGAATTTTTTATTTCACAGTTAATTTGTTCATACGGTAGTGCCGTTTCAATGGTACGCAATTAATATTTTCATTTAAATGCAATTTTTTTATTCTTTATATCAACGTGTATTACTTTACATATGTAATTTTATTTTATAGATATTTGGCCTTATTCATAAAAAATAAAGTAGCTTTATAAAAGGAACCTACTTTATTTTTTATGAATAGGGGCAATTATATTCAGTTTATTCAAACTTAATATTTTAATGAAACGACTTAGTTTTTTATAATTATTCCAATATAAATTTTTGCGTTTAATCACGAATGATTTTATTACTTTTCTTTTGCGAATAACGATTACTCGAACCTCATGTCCGAGGAGCCACTTTGCGACTCGAATATATTTATTCTATATAATTTTTAGGCGTTATATGAAAACAATTGGTAGCGCCTGAATGTATGCTACGTTTTTACACAACTTACTACATATTTATATTCTGTATCAGTGGCAAATTCTTGTGTTGGCAGGTGATGCATTGCAGTGTAATCGTTAGATTTCAATAAGGTTTATTTGCAAATGAAATCAATTCATTAACATTTCAGTATTTGTATGAACTTTTATTTGCCTGTTCGATAATTCAACATTTTTATTCTAAGGCCTGCCAGCAAATAGTATAATCAAATGGACGGACTTTGCGGCGTCGTCGTCGCCTTTGCCTTGCTTTCACTACCCGCCTCCACAGCTGACACCGTTGCCGATGCTGCCGCAATCTGCGCCGGCTGCTGTTGTGTTTGTTGCTCTGCACCACTTTCTAATTTCTTGTCACCTTCGGGTAACAGTTCTATTGGTTCTTCTGGCTCTTCAATTACTTGATAAGTAATTGGTGCTGGCTCCTTTGGTGGCAACCAGTCAGGTATGATTTTAGCGTGCAGACGCCATTTCCCATATTCATTGGAGATATGCTTTTCGAAAACCACATATTCGAGCACATCTTTAGCTACAATCTCACTGCCATGCATTAAGCGTCCAAAGCGATCGTAAATTGCCAACAATTGTTGTGTGTGAAAGCGCACAGTAACTTGCGCATATAAATTTTCTTTGCTTATGATATCCGTCACACGTGCATGTACGACGCGTGGCGGCTCCAATGATTGTATGAAGCTCCAGTGTATGGTCTTATCACGCACATTGTGCATCATTTCGGGATAACAGCGCTCCGTTACAAATTCACGCAATTCATGTTTATTCTTCGCTGCCATTTGAGTGTGCGCTGCAATATAGACGTCCTGAGACTGACTGGTAAAGTCACTGGTGCTAAAATCTTCATCGTATGAACGTATTTTACGCACGGCCATAACACTTTTTGATTTCTTCTCGAGAAATTCGAACTTTTGTTTGGCACCCGCTGAGGAAATGAATGACTTTTTGCCATCACCCTCTGGCGGCACATAAGCTTCGAAAATACCTCCGGTGCAACTTATATGGAATGGACGCTCCAACCAGGGTCGTGGTGGCAGCACACCACGTTCTTTCAATCGACTCCGTATTTCGTCCTGCGTCAGATCGCCAGGTTTCTCCTGGAAGTTGGGTAATTCCACCTTGACGAATTTTTGGGCACGTAGCTTCTTGAATTTCGGATTCCAGTGTTTAGTTTGGCGGTGACGCAATTGTTGGGCCTGTAATTGCAACAGCGCTTGCATGGCTGGGGGCTGCGCTAGCTTTAGGTGGAGGAAAAAGAAATAGATGGGCGATTACATTGGGGTTATGGTGCAATATTTTGGTGAATGACTTGAAGTAATCGATATTTACCTGTAGCATTTTAATGCCACAACGTGCTGAGGCTGCAAATTCCATTGTATGTGATATTAGTGTCTTTCTTTTTAAGAAAACGCAGGAATTATAGGCCAAATATTACTTTTACACAACCTTTTCGATCGGAATTCACATTTGGCGATATTAGAGGTGGGTAACTCAACTCAGAGTTGAGTTATTGAGTTGATTCCCATAAGTGGATCCGTAACTCAGACTCCCTGTCCAAAAAAATGTAACTCAGTAACTCATTTGATGCCCTAGGGCTCACATGATTCAATTGAATCATAGTGGCTCATATTTGTCCATATAACTCTCTCACTTCGCCACAGTGTTTAGCATGGCAAAGTCTTGCATTTTGTTTTTGCACGAGGCGAATTTATACAAGGTGGTGGCAAGAATACAACAACAACAACCACATGTATTTTGTATTGCGGGTGTTATGTCAAATCTCAAAAATTTCTTATAATTTCGTTTTTTTTAAGTTTTTCTCGAAATATGTATGTATGTAAGATATATAAAGATGTGCATATCAAATCAATTGCCTTTCCAACCATATCCACATATTGAAATTCGGTACAATAGTTTTCAAAAATGTATAAGATTTTGAAAATATTGAAAATTCCACCTTTACCCTCCCCTAGCAAGCCCCTATCAATTTGCACAAAAAAAAATTTACACCTTTCAAATCAGTAGAAAGGAGCTGACCACGCCCACTTTAAAGTTTTGTTTTATCTCAACGGCCGCTATACCGCATTTATGCCTCAAAACGAGTCTACGTTACGAATGAGTGTAAGATACAACAAAGAGTCAAATGAGTTAGTTGAATGAGCTGACTCCTTAAAGTTAATTTGAGTCATTGAGTCAATTCCTATAAATTTGCTGAGTTACCCACTCTTAGTCGATATGACAAAATGTCAAAATCAGCTTATTGGCCTAGTGCCGTGTGTTTTTGATTCGGTTATAAATCAAGTTTGACCACATCGGTGGCGAATGTCGCTGATATCAAATATGATTGGATATTTTTTCAATTTGCAGGAATGCGCCATGGCGATATCTTTATGTTATAACAGTGTGGCACATCAAAAAGATTTCGATACACATTTTCCAAAGGTTAATAATCTAGGCAAATGATGACTATCGCCGATTGGTAGCCGGTTACTTTTCCGTTGAAATTCACCTGTGCTCCAGGAAAATGTAAATGGTGAATTCCACTACAATGTCAAGAAGCAGCATATTTATTGATTTGTATTCACAATTTTTAATTCAAGTACGCAGCAGTGAAATTCGTGGTGCTCCAGGAAAATGTAGAAAATTTCGGTCTTTCAATAAACGGATTAATAAAATATTTACTAAAACTAGAAAACGATTGTCGGTAGTTCTTTTTGCAAATAAATTTAATATCGGGAATCATGGATTTTCCACAGCAATTGGAAGGTAAAAATCAAGTCTTTAGACAAGGCGAAAAAAGTATCGACTTGAATGAAAAAGTGGGTGGATAGTGGCAGCGGGTGGTATCGGGCAAACAATGCAGCAACAATAATTCATGCTAAGCATTGCAGTGGAGTGAATGTAGCATATGATTCTATGGAGTGGGTATTCAATTCCGATTGAAACGCCTTTGTTATCTCCTCAGCACCACTCGCTGCCGGTGTGATGCAAGCTGGAATATTGATTTTTCGGAAAAATGCATCTGCGATTCGCATGCAATTGAAATATGTTTACTTTGACCTAATATTTCTGTTTTTCTATTATTTAAGATCATGTAAAGCAACAATAATTGGCCCGAATTGGATAGCAGTTTTCTAAAATCTAAATAAATTCAAAAATATCCTATCATAAATTCCTGCATATAAAGTGGATATACCGGGAAATGTTTAGTTATTGGCCCATCGTTTTTGGGGTGGGGGGCGGAGGGGGAGGGGGCGTGGCCCCCCAAACCCCCCTCATTCGAAAGGGGCCAGTCGCCACTTTACGAAAAGCCCCACCCCCTCCTTGGGGACCTCCCACAGACCCCTAGGGAACCGTTTGAAAATGGGGTAAAAACGGCATTTTCCGAGGCAAACTGAGCAGTTTGAAGTGGAATATAACCCAACTAACAGAATCTGTGGGGTTTTTAAATAAAAGAAGTTATCCCAAGGTGGTTATCAGGCGAATAAAGGACCACCTTTCGCAGAGAACACCTTTGTGCGTAGGCGGCCTTCGGCCGCACTTAGGGATTATAACCCTCAGGCA